CACATTTTACACTGTAACCTAGGACACCCTATCTTACTAAAACAGCTTTGTATTAAGCCATTTCTTGTTGGGCCTTTCTTACTGAGATCCAGAAAAGAAGCCTGCACCATTTCTTTCTCTATCACATCCCCCTCCCACCTGCCTGGTGCAGAACAGCCCCATACTATTTCAAGTGGACAGAACAAAGAGCACATGCATGCTTATGATTAAATACAAGCTGTGACCAAATTTATGTCTCTGAGGAACATGTAGTGGTCACGCAGTGTTCATGATATGGATTGGCCATGATGTGATCACTGACTTCACATGCAATAATCTTCCAGGCTGACAACTGCATGGCCATGCTGGGCAATATGGGGGCTTGCCCTGGATATTTCTCTCAACCCTTTCACTCTGTTAAAAACAAGACCTCAGCTGCCTGTGAAACTGCTCCGATATCACTCCAGGTCATGCTTTGTATTGGCAGGACTTCTCAGTGCACAAAATCACCACATGCCATTCAGCTCACTTCATGCCTGTAGCCTGCGTGATACTTTTCGGATGGCTCACCAGTGATACCTGTGAGTGAGCATCACCTTCCTTAAACGGTCACAGCGTCACCACTTGAAGCGGCTGTTTCCCAGGCTCAGCTGTCTCTTTGCTGACTCGACCAGAACTGCCAGCACTGGTTCTGTACCCAGTGAAAACAGAGCTGGGCACAGGGTGGGCAGCAGGAGAAAGAGGTGTCCCCCCTCTCCATCAGCATGCCTCCAAATGTACCTCTCTGCCTTTCTCCAGTGGGCCTCGCCACTTCCGTCCTCTTCTACTCACCACAGACACTAGGTGGGAGACCAAGCAAACGTCCATTTCAAAGCAACCGGCCTGCATGGGGCCAGGGATGAGGGAAGGGCAGCGTGGAACAGGTGAGCATAAGTCTGTGCGTTGACCTGTGGAGAAAATCACCAGCCCTACAGCACGCGTTGCCCAGGAGAACATTGCAATTTCAGGAACAAGGACCACAAGGAGGCTCAGGCTGGAATGCAGCATTTCTTTAATGAGAACAGAAAGTGTCCATTTTGACAGGAGAGGGAAGAGTGCTGAGCATGAGAGGTTGAGGGCTCCAAAGAGCAAGAGGGCATCACCCTTTGCAGTGGGATGCAAAGCGCCTGCAGGGTGCTCCTTTCTCCCCATTGCAGCTGCAGCCGGTGAGAATCCTCTCCCATCTAGAGCAAGGGGGAATGAAGTATGTTGCCTTGATCAACAGCAAAAGCTATGAAGCCCAGGAGGGAGGATGAGGGGGCTACCTGGCAGTAGCAAGGAAAACACAGCAAGAATAAGAGCAAGAAGGGCACGATGTTAAGGGGTGACACACGGCTCTCTTCCATTCAGGGGGTGAGGCAGGTGTCCCATGCACTGGGAAACCACAGACATCTCTCCGATCCTGGATCCCGGTCTTATTTCTCCATTCGGGCTTGTTCTTTCCCACATAAGTGTTCCACTGGTCCCACCAGCACAGATTGCATGAATGCAGGGGCCTACACAGACTGCTCCTGAGGCCTGTGAATCTCCCAGATCCAAGGGTGGCCCCAGAAGAGACGGGAACCCCCTGGCACTGAGGGAGCTCCCAACAGCAGCTGACAGAGAGGATCCCACGGCTGTGCTCTGAGGGAACGAGGTGCACCACCACAGGGGACGGTTCTATCACAGAGGTGGAGTCAGTGCACCACAGAATACAAGGCTCATTGCAGCCGTTTGCAAGGGGGGCTGGCCTGCAGGAGAAAGGGAGGCAGGGTCTGTAGCAAGACATCTCTCAGCGAGGGAGGCAGAGCTGAAAGACAGAGCAGGGCATGGGCAGGAGATAGAAGCCTGGGAAAGAGCACGGGTCAGAACCACAAGCACACCTGCAGACAGAGTGCGGGTGCATTCAGACTTACCTAGCTGACTGAGCAGATGGCAGCAAGGGCAGTGGATGACAGACTTGGAGGATGCATGGACTTTTATACCCTGTCTCCAAGCCCTGGGGGACCTGAAGCATTCCTTATGCATGAAGCACTTTGCTAACTAGCAGTATTTACTTGCAAAACTCTCCTGGATGATGACATCTTTCTCCGTTTCATCTGAGAGTGTTTGCTCCCATCTAGCACACAGGCAAGACTGAAATGTGCCCGTTGAGGTGCAGCAGTCATTGTGTTGTTGCCTAAGGCCACAGGATATTGCTGTTGATCTCATCTCAGATGCTCACAGAGACACTAAGCAGCATGCTGGACATGCACATTCCTGCAGCACAGACCACCACCACCTTCAGGCAGTGTGTAATTCAGCTCCTGAAGTCACCTCACCATTGTTTCCAGCTCACGGCCTTGGCCTGAACAGCAGAAATTCATACCCTTGGCAGCTATGCTCACCTGGTCATAGAAGCAGATCAGTTTGGTTAAGCAGGACCCGTCTTTCATGAAC